ACAAACTTTTATCAACTTTCCTGCATTTCGTAAACGGGGTTGAATCCCCGATCCCCTCGCCTCCCGTGCCGTGAGTCCATTACAGCAGATGGCCATTTTTTACGATTTCGCAAAACAAAATATTGCACCTAAACCTATAGAATACATACCTATAATATCTATATCATGTAAAATACGCTATAAGTATATACAAGTAATCTGGCCAACTGTGTACAACGCATAATATTGTGTGGGCACATCATCGTCGCTTCACCCGCCGCGTAGGTCACCCGTCATCGCGCGTAACGCATTATTATACGATAAATTCGCGACCTTTTTAGCACCAGAGAGCGTTTTTTATTCATTTTTTACGCGGCGGCGTCGTCGTCGTCGTCGGTAGGTATAACCTATCGCGGCGATGGTACACGCGCGCAGCTTCATTACGATTTATCACTCGTCGTCGTCGTCGTCGTCGTCGTCGTAGTCAGTCGGCTCGACCCGACCCGGCATCGCGATATACATAGCAGTCTCGGCGCGTCTCTCTGTCTCCGCGGTGACAGATTCGTCTCCGATCTCACAGTTTTCGTCCGCCGCCGACTGTGACGCGATACACCACGCAGCTGCAGCAACTGCCGAGGCGCCGCCGATATCATACGACAGTAATATTATCGCTGTTAAATAGGTATATTATTGTGTTGTAATATATCATATTATTTGTGTTGTCGGACGCGATATTTTTTTTTCGTTCGGCGAGATAGCGTAATATTAAATCGTAACAATAACTGTACACGAAATAAAAATAATATAATATTATACATTATTGTGCAGTACAACACGTGTGTCCCGGGCAAGGGCAAAGACTTACCGGCCGGCAACTAATGATGTGTCGGTACACCTACCCACCTTAAAAGTCATGAAAAAACTTTCATGGGCCTGAGGGTTTATTTTTTTAGTTGTTGGCGATTTGACTTTTTTTTTTTTAACCAAACCTGTGCAGTATGTTTGTCCGCGTATTTTCAAAACTTTTCAATTGTGTTCATTGAATTGATTAAATTTAAAAATAATTGGCAAAAATGAACATTTTTGAAAGCAATACGAGTAATTAAATGGGTACATAATAAAAAATTAAATAGTTCTATTCCCCGACATTTATAGGGGTTTTTCATAATTTAAGGTGTACCGATACCTGATATTTGATATATTATAATTAAAAGGGATGAGGATCCGGGCTTCATTACAAAATTAAAAATATTAAACTCGTATGGTGGATCATTATTTGTTTATGCTTTTAATATAAAGACAATATAGCATTTATCTATGGTGTTTTCGAGGCCGGAGGAGAGTCAGATAGACAGAATGTTTTATCTAGTACAAACCATCACAAAAGACCCGAGTTATATTAATTTACATATGGGTACTCTGGTACTCGCTGAGACTGAGTAATGAGTATCATCAAACTGATTTCATAGACCAAATTTAATTATCTGTATATACCTATTGATGTATATTTGAAGGGTTGTGGCGACAAATCTTGTTATTAGAGCATAATATAATAAGGTTAGGATGTATTTGTATACACTCTTATTAAATAAATAACTCTTTTCTCTTTATACAATATTGACGAAAATTAATAATATTATGTCAATCAACAATTAATTATAAATGCTCACGGAAAAATATTTAATACAGTAATCGAAAGTAATATCACTGAATTCATGAAAATAAATAATTTATTGTTTTATAATATTATATAATATTTCTATCGAAGAAAATAATATTATTATATAATATTTTAATATTATTATGATCAGGGGCGTTTTTTCAACATTTTTACTGGTGTGCTTGGTTTCAAACAGAGCATTTTGATATTTCACCAGGCCGTATAAAGTAGTTATAAATATGTATAATATCCTGTTTTTATGAATATTAACAAGTGTAAATTAATAATTAATGCATTAAAAGTATGAAAAAGACAAATTGAATTGTCTTCTGCATAAACATAGATATATAGTCCGTCGTTGGACGCGTCTTTTTTTTGTACTCCTTTTGTCTAGTGTTGAGAGATTCTCTTATTTTATTTGAATATGTTTTAAACTACCTTAACACATTTTTTATGTTATTTGTATTGACTATATTCTGTTATGAGCACTTATAAGCTAAATATACATATATATATATATATATATATCAATGTTTATATTTTCTTTTATACAAAATAATTTAGTAAAATATTTAAAATTATTTTTATTTTTAGATTAAAAGTATTTTAAAAGGTAGGGCATAACTACTATAGACAATAAACCAATGTAAAAGACAGTGGTGGCCAAAATAATATCGCCGTGAGAAAATCTCTCACCATCACGCGATCAATGAAAGGGTAATATATATTATAACATGTACCTACCTAATATTAATTTAGAAAAAAGAAATATATTTTATATTTATAACTTTTGTAAGACCAATATGCTCTAGAAAAAAAAAGTCTGAGGCACACGGGGACTGCCGCGGTAGAGCTATTGCATAGCAATTCCGTTGCTATGTATCATGTATTTTTGTGTGATATTAATTCAAGTTGCACTTTTTAAGCGCGGCGACCGAAAAGAAAAAAAATAAGATCTTTCGACTTACGGTCACACTCTTTCGTAACGAAAAATATTTGTTCAGTCACCACGACAGACCCGCGATCAGAGATATGCAATAATAATGCTATTTTAAAAAACCGGATACCGTCGATTTTCAAGTTTAGCAAATACATCTACGAGTCTTTTGCAGAGTTCACATCGTTAACCTTTTCATATTTACAAGTCTACAACATTAATATGTATTGCGTTTTCCATATTATATGACACTGAACTAGCGCGGTTATAGTTGTACTTATATCGGGCAAATGATAACACCCAAAAACTATAACTCAATGCGATCGAGTTAAATAATGGTCGTGTCGAACATTATAGGTATGTCTTGAGCTAACATAACATTTTTTAATGCATGTACTGCACATTTCGAAAGGCGTTCTGCTTACGTCATATTTTATATGTATCTATATTGTTGCAAATTGTATCATAAAATAAATATTCCATCCGCACATCAGTGCGCATATAAGTATTTTATTCGTGTGTAGAACGTTTTAAGTATTATACGTACAGTGTTTGTCGAATACACCCGTGTGTCGTTACTCGTAATGTGACAATGCATAATATCGCATAATACACCGCAATATTTAGCATATTGCAATAATTACTAAACAAACAGCTGAAAACAGATATATAGGTACATCGCAATAGTTCGCAACCAGCTTGCGTGAGTATAGTGTGTCGGCCATTATGAAAACAAAATATAAATCATCATAATAATGAATTGTCAAATCGATCCACTACACTTATTGGGCATGTTAAAAACACACAAGAATCCTAGCTATTAAAATCTCTTTTGAACACCTGCAGTCGTAAACGTCCAGTCTGGACACGTAAACGGAATCCAGGGGAAGGCCGTCTTGTGTGGAGTGGTGTTCTGGTCACGGTAATATAATAATTATATAGGCATAAAGGAAATAATATGATTATATTTTTAAGTATATCATACTATTTTTGTTCATTTATTGCTGTATCAAGAATCTCGTGCTCCGATATCTAACCTACCGATTGAGCTGCCCCCCCCCCTTCTCCTCCGACAAATACAACCGTCGACAAAGTGAATTTATTGAGACGTGTACAATATATAGGCACTCGTGACGCTCACTTAGATGAACTATACTTATCTAATCGTATTCCATAATATGTGTTTTGCAATCGTTTCCACATTTTTTTAATAATAATATTATTTAATTCATGATTTTTATGAAATGTTTGACAACCAAAATGATCCTACCCCAGAAAAGTCGTCCAGATTCAACACTGGGTACACAAATCCGGTATCGATGTAGACATCATCCATGACTCTCCTCCCGTGCCTTCCAAATGCGTATATTTCGCCCTACAAAATCTTTGGTTTCGTAATGTGCTTAAACTCGTTCATATCGTAAAATATAAAATATACAATCGGTGACGGATTTTCGATTTTTTCGCACGTGTGAGGAGTCGTCGAGGTGATTATTTGTATATAGTTCATACCCATAGACATTTCAAACCGGGCACTATACCGTTTACCAGCGTGGACGATTAGTAAAAGTGCGTATTGGCTGTAATTTTTGTTTATGCATACCTATTACCTGCGCGCAACCAGTGGCGGCGGGAACTTTTTGAGTCTTAGATAAGCAAATTACACATTTTTAATATTTTTACCACCAACCATCCCCTTTATTACATCAAAATGATAATTTACCATGTTAATTATCATTAGGGCTGGGATTTTAATGCCCTAAAAAAACCCGAAAAATGTCCTAAAAAAAAATGATTTTATGACCTAAAAACTCTAAATAATGCCCTAAAAAACCGCGAAAAATGCCCTAAATAAAATGCTTTTATGATCTACACATTTTTTAATTTTTAATAATTTTAGTATAAATTACAATAAAAAGTTTTTAAAAATTCTTTATAAAAATCTATTACAAGTGTAAACTGTTAATACATAGTTTTAGTAGGTATAAACTATAAATCTAAAAAAAAAGTTGATTGCCCGATAATATAATACGAATTACGAGTAAATACTTATAATCTGTTATTTTTATTTAAAAACCATGTTGGTGTAAAAATCTTAAAATAAAATTTCAAATTCATACACATGGTTTCCACAAACTCAAAAAATGCTCCAAAAACTCTAAAATGCCCCAAAAAAATTAAGAAAATGACCTAAAAACTAAAAAATGCAAAATAAACTTTCTTATTCTCATTCAAATGTACATAGAAACAAATTTGTGACAAGACGAACATTGCACAGTAAGCTTTGAAAAACAATGCAAAGTGCATCGAAATCCCAGCCCTAATTACCATATTTGTTACGATAATAATTGTGTTGAGGCGATAGTGGTGTACTGGTGTTACAATAAAATTATACCACCGGCACCCACCTATATCGGACACGAAGCAATTGCTTCAAACGGTATTATTATATCCCGCAGCCACTGCGCGCAACAGCCTACCCATACCCGTGCGTGCGCGTAATTTACGTACATTTTCGAAACGTAAAAGTGCCTGCCAGTGTACGCATATTTTTTGGGAATAAAAACGACGTTTCGTTATTGTTTCCACCCGGAAATCCGTCACCACCGGATACTGCAGCTGCAGCAGCCCGCAGTACCCTAGTAGTAATAATAGTAATATTATTGTGGAAAAAAAATCGAAAGAATCGCCGCCGCCGACGATAATAACAATAATAACGACAGTAATTCGCGACAAAAATGACGCGGGCAGGTAATCGTTGGCGGTCGCACAGTGTACGAAACGAAAAAAAATCGCTCAAAATATGAATATCGCCCGCGGCGTTTGCGCCAATAAACGAAACAGACGATAATGGTATCACATCTTAAATCGTGCCAGCAGCAGCTGCAGCTGCTGCAGTTGCTGCCACAATAATAATAATAATAATAATAATAATAATAATATTATCGTCGTGTTGATAACGACGACCACAACAATAACAATAACAATGCGACGACGACGACAGTATTAAATAATGTCCGGAAACTCGCCAGCCTGATTTGCACGCCGAGAGTTTTTTTTCGCTCGACCGACCTTCATCGCTCAGGCAAAATGAAAACGAAAAAAAACCAGACGAATTCGCGATCGTGACGGTCCCCGAAGACGGTCTCTCCCGTGTCGTTGCGATAATATTATTATTATTATTATTATTGTTGTTGTTGTTATTACGGGCAGTTCTCGTTTCTCGTTGTTGTTTTTGAAAAAATTATTATTTCTTCGGTTTCGATCGTACGACGTCTACCCAGGTGTTGTAGGTGTACCTACCCGTGTACAACACCTATCCGGTCGCGCCAACAATTAATGGTCGTCTGTTTGACGACGACGATCGAACAATGACATATTGTTTGTTTAACGCAGGCCGCGAGTATGTGGAACATACAACACCGTCGTAACGATATGAATATTAAATAAAAAAATTTAAAAAATACTGCGATAGGTACACACACCTGCGCCCGCCCGCCTGTCCATTCCGATTCGGGCCACGCTGAAGGACGGATAATCTGAGCGTAGGTATTTTTTTTTCTTCTCCTACGATGCGTTCGACACTGCTGCTGACAGCCGCCATTTCGCTTGTGACGACCGATGTCTGTTTGGCCACCGACCCGCTGGCCCAGGAGTACGGCGAGCTTGTGTTTTCATCTCTGGTGAGTAATAATCAATTATTATGCTGTTTTACCTGTATAGCTAGTGATATTATTTACTATGCAATGGTTTGCGTGTAGTAGATAGGTACCAAAGTACTATATCCGACATTTGACAATTGGTTGTGGCTTACCTAGTAATTTATCTGTCTATAAATCTCAGTGAATAGTTATGACGGTGTCTAGAGTGAAATCCAGATAAATATTTAGGTACCTACCTACAAAAATGTATTTATTTCTACCCTACCTATTTGTAAATGTTAGGTATACTTATTCGTTTTATTGTACAGTAGACCAGTAATCTGGCTTCATGTTAATAGGAGACATCTAGTTAGTAGTTATCTGACTTAATCCAAAAATTTATAAATAATAGTAAATAAACTGATATTTACCGTGGAAAATAATGGCAGGAACAGGCATCTTGGGAATGATATCAGTCAACAATAATAAAACAAAAAAGCCAAATGATTTATTGAAATATTAATAATTATTAAAGCATCACATTTTTTTTTATAAATAATGATAACTTTATTGGCATAGTAATTTATATAGTCCAGAGATGGCGAACCTATGACACGCGTGTCAGAGAGTGACACTCGTGCACTATTTTAGTGACACACATGAATGAGTAAAAGTTTGATAGTATTAAAATTTTTGAAAAAAAAATGAAGGGTTATCGAACTAATTGACACGCAGGGAAAACAAAATCCAACCAAAAATTTTATTTGACACGCTGGTACAAAAAGGTTCGCCATCCCTGATATAGTCTATAATATGTAAGTATATTGCATATATAGTATCTACATGATTATACACCTCTGTAATTGAACTATGTGTTGTGGCAAAATAAAATAAAATTATAATAATGTGTAATTATGTACATATTTAGTGCATTCTTATTTTTATTTTTTATTTCCTTGACTCGTCCGATGTGCATTGAATTACTGGGACTCAACTGTATTTCTAAATATTTAATAATATTCGAGATAATATTTGTATTTATTGTTCCTTGGCTTCCTATAGATCTAGTCATAGATACTACAATATACAAATTCATGTAATATGTATATTGTGTATACCTACTCTAAGTCTAATTTTATGTTTTATTGCTCCATATTTATTTATCTGATAAATGTCTAATTTTAATTTCAGCTCTATAGACACGGCGATCGAGCGATTACTGATTTATCATACCCAAAAGATCCTTATAGAAATGCATCTTACTGGCCCATGGGTTATGGACAATTGACTAATGTAAGTTTTTATTTTTTTTTCTATAATTGTGTGCACAAAAAGAGATATTTAGAAGGTACATTTGTATTCAATACCTAGTAAAAACCTTTCTATTTTCATAATATTACGATTTAAATATATCATCTAAACTAATATTTTCATATAATAGGGGTGAGGTACCTTATATAGTATGTCAAGTAAAATAATAATGATACTACATTATTATAAATAACCTCAAGTTATTGGTACTTCCTGAATATTGTAAATATTTCTACAACTATTGGACTATTTGATTCTATAATTTTTTTTTTTCATTTCAACATATCTACTGTATCTATTTATATGTATTCCCTAAGTAATAAAGTATGCTTTATGATTTTAGCAAGGAAAAGAAAGGCACTATGAATTTGGAAAATGGATAAGAAATAGATACAGTGATTTTTTGCCTATTAAATACTCAAGTGAAGATATATACATTCGTAGTACTAGTGTGGATCGTGCTTTAATGAGTGCTGCTGTTAATCTAGCTGGTTTGTATGCACCAACTGCAGATCAAAAATGGAACAACAAATTAGGCAATTTATGGCAACCAATTCCAATTCATTCAGTTCCACGAGATCTGGATCAGGTAAATTTTGTTAGCATATTTTATGCTATATATTATAAATTGTGGTTTCTTTTATGTAATAATTAGAATTAATTGAAATATCTTTATTTTTCAGTCTTTGTCTTTTGGTAATAACTGTCCTCGGTTCACAAGAGACTTTAATAACCTTCAAAATTTGCCAGAAATCCAAAAATTTAATGAAGATCACCAAAATTTATACAATTATCTTAAAGAAAACAGTGGCATGAATTTTACTGATTTAATTGATGACACATTAACTTTGTATGATATATTATTAGTGGAGGTAAAAATTATTTAGTTTTTAAAGAGTATTCAAAAGATATTATAAGAATTAAATTTAGATTGATTAAATTACTTAACTTTGGATAAGTAATATATTGTATTAGATATGAGCGGCCAAACTGTATTTAGTGGAAGATAACACAAAAATAATTTTTCTTTGAAAATAGATTTAATTAATGTTTTTAAAAAATATATCAAAACTTCTGTATATCAAATATTAAATATAAATTGTAGTGAATCACTGATGTATATTTTTTCTGTTATTATGGCTTGTTTTTGGCTCATCTGTTTTATATATCATATTACATTAGTGTATACAAATTTAAAAATTAATATATTTATTATTAAAAGACTACTGTCTACTTTTCTTATAAATATTATAGGTCATACGTTTTAATGTAAATTGTATTTAGTTATTTAATTTTGTTTCGTTTATTTATTTGTATTTTATGTTAATTTTTTTAGACACAATTTAACTACACATTACCCAATTGGACCAATTCTGTTTTCCCTGACAAACTAAGAGAAGTTTCTGAATTGGCATTTCTATTGCCAACATATACTCCAATATTGAAGAAACTAAGTTGTGGTATGTGTAAATTCAACAATCAATAAATATTTAAAGGAATAATATGTCTAGCGATTATTGGATAATAATATTAAAAAATAATTAAAATACTTAATATGTATTTATACAAAACTGCTATATTACATCTAATACAAATACCTACACATTAAGAATATTATATCTATATAAATTATGTTAATTAACTGTAATCACCTATTGGAATGGTGTTTATAATTTGATATTATACTTGTTTAATTTTTTCTTGTTATTTTATTGATAACAAAATGATATTTGGTAATCACTATGCTTAAAGTAAGTTATAAAGTATATTATTTTATGTTTTCCTTTGTGACTAAAGCCATCAAAGTTATCTTAACTTCCATATATTTTCTGTGTTTTACCAATTCAAATAATTATAAGGATCAATATTAGCAATTGCACAAACACAATGTTTCATGTGAGGAGAGACAATAATTATATAGACCACAACCATGGACACATCATTTTTTTCTCTAATCTAAAATTAAAAAAATCTGTCTCACCACAGAAAGTTACTGCTTCTTGACAAAATTCGGTCATTCTTGCACATCCCTCACACCTCATGTTGCCCTGTCATCACCACTACTGATAGGTGTACTTGAGTTATCGGCTAACGGCACTCGATGGCAGATTAGTGAGTAAACATATATCTGTTTTTTGTACATAGATTGCACAGATAGGGGATTTCGAGGGGGATTTTATGGTTTGGCAAGGGTATGAAGCTCAGCATGCGTGAAACCGTACCTTTCTCCCGTAAGACAGACTATATTAATTTTAATATTATATTAGTATCAATTTATTATCAAGCTAAATAAGATCACTACTAAATATATGTCACTCATTAAAATAATTAACATTTTAAATTATTTAATCAATAAACTAACTGCTTGATACATTAGGTTATGACCTATAATTCTTAACAATTGATTACCACATTTATTGTTAAAATAATAATTTTGTTCATCTATTAAATATCTGAAAATAAGTGAATATCTCTAGTTTCGATACATCATTATATCTTTAAGAGGATTTGATATCATAATTTTTTATCTTAGTCTAACACATGTGCATCATAGGATTTTAGACGAGTTCTTTGCCAAATGTATCGACTGATGAAGCAAAACAATAAGAATTCTGAAAACAGATTTGAATTTTTTTATCAAGTCTACCTCAGCCTTCCCCATATTTTTGATTTTAACTTCTCCAATAATTGAAATATGGCAATTTTTTAGTATATATTATTTAGGAATATGGGGAATAATATTAAATATTTGGGAAAGTCCTGGAGTCTTGACGACAAATTCAAATCTGTTTTTTAGAATTCTTATCGCTTCATTAGATAAATGTTTACATTTGCGCAAAAAACACTTCTAAAATTCTTAGACAAATACAGAAAATCGCGGTATCGAATTCTCTTAAGATACAAACGTAATACCAGATTAATAAAGGTAGAGGGGGGCATGGACCCGAGCCCAAAACGGATATTGAACAATTTTGGGTAGGTAGTAAGTTTTCTATTATATATGGATAATGGATATATTATTATTATTTGGTTCTTGGCCAAAAATTATCTTAATCCAGCCTTGTATAAATAATTTTGATAAATATAAAATAGTGATTATTATTATCAATAAATCTTTGCCAAATAAATTATGTAAATAATTGTTTGCATTTTTCTTGTATGTTTTGGTATTAAATTATGATTTATTAAAAAACTATAAAATGATAATTATGAATGATACAAAATTGTTTAATTGTTAATAGATTTATTATAATAATATCATAAATTGTTCTATAATTATAATAATTTATTATTTTCCTGAAGTTAAAATTATCTAAAGCGTATTATATAAGTTGTGGTTCTGAACTTAACCTTTATAAAATGATTAAATTTGTATAATAGTATAATTTAAATTTTTAGGTGTGTTGCTTAATGAAATCGTCGATAATATGAGACAAAAACGGAATGGAACTATGAAAACAGATTTCAAATTATGGGTATACTCAGCTCATGATACCAATGTAGCTGGTTTATTACATTCTTTAAATGTTTACAATCATAAATTACCACCTTATACTGCTGCAGTATTCATAGAACTTAGGAAGAGTAAAACGCCAAATAATACTTATGTTGTTACTGTAAGTCAATATAATATTTAAAATTTCAAGTTATACACCAACAAAAAATGTATCAAATATTTTCATTTTAAAGGTATCATATAGAAACACTTCAACTCACGATCCTTATTTGCTTCATGTTCCGGGTTGTGATTCAATAGCATGCAACCTAGACCAATTTATTGATGTTGTGAATCCAATTCTACTTACAGACTGGTATAAAGAATGCCATAAGCCTGAAGAAAATAATGTTTTGGCATATATTGGTAAGTCGCAATCTATTTTTTTTTAATTTAAAAAACTTATGAGATATCTAGGTAAATCCAAAACATTTTAAAACTGTAATTAAAAAAAAGTTTTTGTTTATTTGTGTGAAATATTTTAATTGTGTTATCTCAATTATGTTTTTATTTTTATTAAATCTTCCATAATTTGAGTAATTAACTGACTGAAAGTGTGTTAAAGTATCAACAGTTCACAGGAAAAGTTAGATTAAAATTATTCCAAAATAAAAACTTTAATTTTTTTTTTGTATCTTAAGAGGACGCTACAACCGCATATGTTGTCATTGTCGTACAAACGCTTAATTTACTCTCAGCAGATTACATTTCATTCTGTTAGTCTAAGAATTAGAGTGAATCGACCTATTATGAAACTTGATGGTAAGAACATTATCTGTGTTCCTATGTTGGTTTTTTTTACGATAGTTCAATTCTTAAGTGAGTTATGAGCATTTTTAATTCATGCTATTTTATAAGCATAACTAAATAATTGAACTATCATAAAAAACCAACATATTACATAATAACATAGATAATATTCTTACCATCATGTTTTATAAAAGGTTTATCACTCTAATTTTTAAACTAACGGAATCAAACTTAATCTGCTAAACGTACATTTTATATGTTACACACTTGTAAGACGGAGACAACACATAATATGAATGTGTTGACTTCTTAATTGATTAAACTATATACTGTATTACAGATTATAATTATTGTATTGGATATTTATTATAGTACTACTTTTAAAATATTTTTTTTCTTATTAAATCTAACTTGTTATATAAATGAACAATTATTTTTTTTCCTAGTTATAGGCACAAAACTTTGTTGAATACATCAAATATTATTAATTCAATATTTATAATGTCAAATTATATATTCATGATAAAATGCAGGATACTATAAAATGTATATTTAGGATTTGTCCTGACATACTATATAATATGTTAAAATGCACTTAACCTACACAAAAACTCAACCAATGAATAATAGTTGTTTAGACTTCTAATATTTGGCGGAATGATAAAATCAACAAATGGATTAAAATTAAAAAGTCACTTATTTATAGCTTTGAGCCATTTATCATTTACAAGATTTTAGTAGTTACATAAAAGGAGCCAACTTTCAATGATTTAATAAAATCATTGACTTCATGAAATGTTTTATATGAATAAATTAAAATATTTTGTGTATTAAATAATTTATTAATACCTATTCTATTTTGTTTAGGAATTATTGCAGTAATATTGATAGCTGTTTCAATCATATTTTTTTTGTTAAACAAAAAATATTTCATCTGTTATTGTGGCAGAAATTATCAAAAATGTACGTACAAAAAAATCATCAATAAGTAATATTTATTACAATAGTGTTTGTATTTATATTTAATGATATTAGAATGCTTAATTTTTTATATATTTGTAGTATTTAAATTAATTAATTAATTGTTATTATTTGTAGTTAATATACACGGTCAAATAATTGACTCATCTAAATATTAATGTGTTAGAAAATGTATCGATATGTATCTTAATATCTTAAAATATGAAATAAAATTATCGAAAAACTCTCAAATTTATAAAGAAAAATTTCAATAAAATTTGTTTAATACTCAACTATAACTAATGTTTAGACTCAACTAAACTTTAAAATATATTTTTTCAACTACATTACTCACTAGTTTTAATAATTTTTATTTCTTATCCTATGTCTAATTAATTACTAGTAAAAAGGTGCAGTATTATCAATTAAATGTACAAAAAAAATCATATATTTAAAATGATGACTATAAATGTTTATTTAAAGTGAGTATTCATTGTAATTTAATAATATACAGGCAATATAGGTAATAAAAACATATTGTTATTTTTGTTAGTTCTCTAAATTATTATTATATTAACTAATTTTACACATTGAGAGTTAGATAAAGTAAGTTTACATTGTAATTTTATTTTGTAAAATAAATTAAAACAAAGTATTTGGACTAAGGCTCTTCATATTTAGTTGTTACCGTATGCAACTAATATTGTCATTTTTATGTTATGGATTTCTCTAAAAACTGATTATTATTTAAGAGTATTGTTAATAAATTGATTTACATTACTATTATTATTATTATTATTATTTATTTTATGTTTTTCATTTCAGTTTAAATGGCATGGACTGACATTTTTTTTTTATGCATCACGACGAATTTATTGACTAAATATGTATTGAAGAAAATATCTTATTTTATATACTATAAGCATGCTAAATATTTTCATATTACTAAATGGCTTAGTATGTTTCAACATTTTACGATAGCTGATGTTATTCGTCGCCCTTACTACTAATGGGTGTTAAAAATGTTGTTCTAGGTTACAAATTTCAAATTATGTTAGATAATAGATAGTATGATTACTGTGTTAAAGTAGTTAGACTGTAGTATTTGTTTTAGTATTTTATTAGAAATGTAGACCCCGTATATTGAAATATGACTGAAGCCAGTGTATCAATTCTAGAAAATTAAATGAAACTTAGAACAATTATATGACTTGTTTATTTTTATTTTATTTCCACAAATAATTCTAAATCCAACTTTCAATATTATATTTTGTAACCACGTTAATTTCATTCAAATGTGCTCTAATAGTTATTGTAAAAATGTGAACCAATAATTAATAACTGTGTAGATAATTATTGTGTAGACTGTAGAGGTACTTCATCTGATGAAATGAAACTATTGTATACCATCGACGTATTAAAATGTTACATTAACATATTATGTTACAATAATTTCCCTTGGATTTTCAATGTTTGCCAGTAAATTAATTTAATATTAATTTTCAACACTAGGGGTGGTTAATTTATAAATATATCTTTAGGTAGGTACATATTTATTTTTATTGATGATTTTAAATTAAATATGACATGTATTATTGTTATTAACATGTAAATCATATGAATAATAAATATATTTTATATTTATAGTTTTTTATGTCAGGTAAGTGACTAATTGGTTATTAGTTATTGCTTCTATTGCTATTATGGAATCAATTAAGTACTCATCAAAAAACTGAATTATCCAAATATTTATGTTCTATCAAATTTCTATATACTTTCATTACTTAATGTCACTCTAGGAAGTTTTTTTTCTAAATGTAGCTGGTACCTTCAAACAAAAATGTCAAATGTTAAATTAGTACCCCCACAATGCTGTTTTACTGACCATGAATATTAGTTTTGTAATAGATCGATTTGCTCTAATTTTTTAACCTAACGGAGCTAAACATAATCTGCTGAAAGTAAATTTGCTATGTAATGCACCTGTGAGACGGACACAACAAATGGCCTTGTAGCTTTTTGGCGTTTTCCAATCAATGTGTATGGACAATTCCAAACAGAATATATCATTTATATTAAAGATAAAAACAGGAAATAGCCCAAAAACCAGGCTCATTATTGTTTTAAATTTGTCCAATACACGACAACCTTCAAGATTCAACATAGGTACCTTACTTGTACATGTATTAATTAATAATGGAAAGTCAATTGCTCTAATTCAAAATATAATGCAGTCTTATTAATTGTATAATATATGCTAACCTCCCTTAGTCCCATGGTCTAAAGAAAAACATTTTAAAAATGCCGAAAATCGTTTTTTTTTTTAAATTTTAAGACTGCCATTTTATAGTTTTATATTCATTTATAATATTATAAGGAAAAAACAATTTTGTAATCTCAACAGAGATTTTAAACAAATGAAAGCAATTTGTATTTTCAAAAATACAGCATAATATTCTAAAATTGTACGGTTTTCACACTTTATGTTAACCATTGCCAATCCAATAGGTACCTAATAAAGAACACACTGACACTACTAGTTGATATTGTATGCATTATTTTTTTTTTCATAATATTGTATAATATAATATATTTGGATGTTTGGATTGTGCCTACCATGACTGCTATGCATAAGTCAGTTTTTTGGGCCCATGATCTTTGTTACAAAATCAGAATATAGGTTATTAAAAATTGTCCTAGCTAAGATATTTCTTGTAGAAACCCCTCAATTAATAAATACTAATGCTACGATTTACTACAATAGAGCTTTACCACGAAGGCTGCGTTCTAAGTATTCGGTAGGTACTTACGAAAGAAGACAAAAAAAATCTTAAAAATAGCGATAATATAGTAATTAATATTTTAATCGGCACTTTGTAAGGTATCTCCGATCGGAATTCGATGTAAGCATATAATAGGTATACCGAGCGGTCCATTTAATGTGGTAAGGCGCTCATTATTTCGAAAACTAACGTTTTTGAAACTATATTTTGTACATGATTTTAAGTCGTCAAAAACAATATTTTGTCTAAGACAATTTTTTTTACGGCATCGTGCATTAATTAGGTACCTACGGGTCTAGTTGATTCCCCCCAATATGATACTATTTTGCCCCCCTCGCCACTTACATGTCTCGTGTTTTCGATGTTCTAATCAATAATAAATAACTAATAAAAATGTACGAAAACTATTTAAAGCATTTTCCGTATACCTAGGTACTGGTCTATAGACCATACGTCATATAAAACTAAATATTCAGGTGGTCAAAATAAAAATGGACTAAAATACATTTTATATGAATAAATAAATCGTAAAAGAAATGCAGAAAAGAAAAACATCATTCCTAAATTATGCGGGTGGCCAAAATTCTGACATGTCCTACGCTGCTTTTCATTATAAGTATCGCGGCCGTTTAATTTACTTCGCCTCGTACACTCTGCCAAATAAGGATCTAGGAAGTTTCTCCTGGTCCCTTTGCTTTTCTCGTCGTCCCGTTTAGCACGTCTCCGCATCCTCTCGACGAATAAAAGTTAAAATTCCAGGCCAGGAGTGCTCCCCCCCCCCCTAGCACTCGCCCGCGGCGGTGTGCGTTATTCGTACGAACATCGTTAGGCAGGCCGGACGTATATCGCAAGTATTTATCATATCGTATAATAATTATTAGTACGTCGTCCCGACGATTTATATTTTTTCGTTTCATTATTTTTTTTCACACTGCCTGTTCCCTGCCGTTTAAACCTTGCGAATGTTTCAGTGTACCATGCCGTGCCCCGGGAGGAGACCGAGACCGTGGACTTCGATCAAGACGGACGGAGTCGCGTGGCCGTCTCGTTTCGGATGAACGGCGTCGAATCGACATCCGCAGACGTGTAAATATTATATTATTATTATAATATAATAGTACCTACCTGCAGCAGTATAATATTTTTACAATACAACATGTGTAACGCAGAGGGCGGTGCATCGCGGTGACGGTTTTCGTTTGGGGGCTAATCGATAATAATTATCGTCATATAAAACAGTACGGGCGGTACGGCATCCGCAGCTCTACCGCCCGTACTGTTGTCGGCGATTTTTGCGTATATAGATTGTCGAGAAACTTGATTTTTCAAAAACTGCAGGTTTCTCGATCGATCGTTTGCGAGAGACACTGCAATATCGTTTTGCAGCGCGTGTCGTATATTGTAATATCATCATCATTGTCGAGCAATCGCCATTTGTTTATACATTTAACATTATTATTATTATTATTATTATTATTATTATTTACACATAATATAATATAGAAATATAGAATACAGATACCTATGTATTATTATTATTATATATTTATGTCGTATATTATATGATAATTAATCCGACCGCTGTGTGAGGTGGACGAGAACTTTACTCTGTACACGATATAGCTGCAGCTTATTATAAAGTTGTTGCAGTGATTATGGCCAGGTACTGCTTGGCCTCATTGCGTCGTTTGTCGCATCCCCCCCCCCCCCCAAAAAAAAAAAAAAATAATAAAAAAATAAAAAAATATATACTGCATTACCTATAATATATTATCTACACCGGACTACTTAACGTGGGCGGGTACGGTGGAGTCTCGATAGTTGACAAAACATCAAGGGGAATAAAAATAAACTTCAATCATGTGTTTTTCGATTTACCTATATGAATTACCTGGTCACGACTTGAGGGGCGAGAAAAAATTCGTGTTATCGAGACTCCGCTGTACATTAATTGTTAATATTATTGGATTGGGTTTATTATAAGAACAACAATAATTATCACTTAATTCGTGCCTACTTGTAGTGCCCACCTACCAACGTAGGTGTTATAGTCAAATTGTCGGTGCACATAATAAATAGGCACCTATATATAATACCTACCTACAATACTATGTGTATAATCTATATATATATATATATATATATATATAAGAATCTAACTTGATTTTGGAGACGAAGGAAACCGGTTTTGAACCCTCACTATAATAATAATAATAATAATTAACTAATTACCAATTATTTTCATATATTCGCCGATAACGATGTCTGTTTCTTTTTAAAAATTTTTTTTTTATTTCATAATCGTTGCATTATTTGTACAGCCAAAAAATAATCCTATGTTTTTAAATTAAATTATAAAAAAATAATTTCTTCCGGAGGAAGTTCGGGCTGCTAGTATATATATATGGCTGGAACTTAAATTACGTTCAACAACTTTCGATCTCGAGATTAAAACAATTCCTGGTACTTGATTTTGTGTTACGTATGTGTTTTGCCTGCAAGCTACCGTCCGCCGTTGGTGGTGGTTTTCAATCAGTTTAATCTAAAAAGATTTTGACGAGGAGAGGCCAAAAACCAAATTTATTGCTGACTTTAAAATAAAATGAATACATTTGAAGTGATTTGTTGCTTTTTACTAGAGGACAGAGAGGCACTCTATTAGATTTTAAATAATCTCACGCGCATCAATATTTTTTTTAAAAATAAACTGCTGACCTTTTTTTATATATTTGGTTGTACTAAAATGTCGGAGAACAAAAATAATATGAACCTACCTATGCATAATTTGTGTAAAAAGTAAATATTTTGTTTTCTTATACATTAGGACATTAGGTATAGGTACGCCCCTACTTATAAGCCAGCCTACTGTCTTTAAACAGTTTCTAAGTTACCCAAGTCCTAAGTAGGATATATAGAACTAATACTGACCTAATGACGCGTTTAAACATTATTTAAAGATTTAATGAATAAATACCTACTAAAAATATAAATTCTACAAGTACAATTACTACATTTGGTGTTTGATGACGATTAAATTATTAATTTCATTGAACACAGTTGTCAGTTATACTCGTACGTCATTACTATGTATAACACTCACAAAGTTTAAAAACATAGTGACTAAAGTATTGCACCCTCAAAATTAAAATGGTCCAAGGAGGGGGGGAGGCGCATCTCGTCAATGTGAATCATTGAGCTATTGATTCTCGAGGTATATTATAAATATATATATTTTATATGACGTATAAAATAGAATAACGATTTATCCGAATTTAACCCGATTTTCACCCTGATAATGATTAAGTACTAGGAATTTCTGACTTTTCGTAAATTTCTGAAAACTCCCCCCCCCCCTTTACGAATATACAATATATATATTATGTCTCATTATATTTTTTTAACCAAAAAAAGGGTTGTCTACAAGCCCGGGGCCAAAACAAAAAAAATGAATCTATAAGAGGCGGTCCACATTCAAGTACTTAGCAAATAATTTAAGTACCTACTTATACCGGTATGCATGGTATGCATGGTCTGAAACTTTCAAGTGGTAGTTAGGTACTTTCACATATTATTTGGAACAACATGCGGATGCCCTCCAATATATTATCTAATAATCGCTTCACACCTAGCGCCTATTATACCTATTCTAATTATATTATTATGGGGAGGTATCGTTATAATTTATCAAGTTATCAATGGGCAATACGATTATTGTGGTACATGTATTTTAATTATTTATTTAATTTTATTTTACGATGACGTGACTTTTTAATTGATATAGTATGACAATCGTATGTTGTTGTTATCGAATACAAATCGGAAATTCGCTGCAGGCTTATCATGATTTATAACCATTTGAGCAAACAGGAAACATCGCCACATATTATCTTGTGTACACTTGCCGCGTATGTACTGTATGATATATTGTTCTATAATTTTTTATATAGCACATATTTTATCGGAAAACAATATACTGTCCCGTCGTACTTGGTTAACACGAAATCGTACGATGCCTCCAACTTTTTCCCGGTCCTCATCGGGTGGCTAGAATTTCCTGTAATTGTATTCATCCTTGGACAACCCGAACTTTTTGTCCGGTCCCTTCGACTTCGAGCGAACCAAATCCGACTGTATTATAATCTGTAAAATATTGAAATAATTAATTTCCTACACACCTCGACTGGGTATAGGTCGCAGGTACCTGTTGCGTGCAGTTGTTACTTATAACTATGGGTGTATGGTGTACACCCGGAGTCACCTGTTCGTCGAACATTGTTGAGAGACCGCACTAGGAATTATCGGAAATAATATTCGCTGGCCATCAAAGTTGCTGACGTCCGTAAAAACCAATAAAGAAAAATGATTATAAATCACAACACTGTAGAACGTATATCATATTATCGTTTCTAACTTTTTTTGTTCTAACCTAACGTTAATGCTTTTCGAGAAAATTAGTGTTTAAAATAATCACTTTGTAGCACCACATTACTATCCCAATAATAATTACCGACACCAACGTAATCACAATGTAATCGATTGTAGGTAGTAGACAAATACATGTTACCTATACTATAGGTTAGGTGAGGTTAAGTATAGAAACGTATACCGCATACCTACATGTTTACTGTTTTACACCACTCGCGGCAGCGGTTACAATAGGTACCGCCAACAACTCAACTATTAGTACCTACCTGTTGTGTTAAAAGTTAAAATGAAAATTAATATTTAACGAGAATATTTAAGAAAAAAAAAAATGTTTTGTTTTTTGTACCTGTTCATTATACTGTTGTTTTTCGGCCAATAACTGAAATCAAAATATAGATTCGATGTAAACATTAACGAACGATGAAAATGATATCACCCAAACAATACTTAAAAGGTACTACTAATATTGTATCACACCTCCACTATTCGTGGATATTAGAGTCATACAATTTTAAAATCGTCGGCATGCGGTAAGTGAGTAAATTAATATTTTTTCCCCCTCAAAATTGTACTAAAAAAAACAAAACATGTTATACGTCTTCGCGCCTAACACGCAAAATCTTGGTTATTTAAAATACCTTCGGGAAATATGTTTTCTATAGTGAAAATTAGTTAATTATAAAATATTATAATGTATATAACGTATTTATATGGTCAGTGTGCGAGTAAAAGGTATAGTAAGTCAATATGATCATTTTTCACAAAGGTGAGTAGGTCAACTAACAAAATAAACTTGAAATATAGTTAGGTAACAATTAAGTCTGTGTAAGAACAATAGTTCACACTTTCGCAGACTATACGATATTTGACTTGAAAAGTTTGAATCGATATGCAGAAAATATCGACAACAAGTGCCTATTTTCTTGACTGATTGATTACCGTTTGACCCAATTTATTTTGCCTCTTTTTTCAATAGTCACTAAAAAATACTTTTTCAAAAATCAAGGTTTAGCCGTTAAGGCGATCAGGTACGCGTTCTCGCCGTATTTTTGTTCTGTAAACGATTTCAATTAGTCCCTGAAAATTAAAAATACATTACAACGGCCAATGCACATTATGGAATTGATTTTGACTTATTTGCTATTTTACTCGCTGCACTCCGTCCATATTATTTTTTTTTTTTTTTTTTATTATTAGTTAAGCATCAACTACATAGGTTATTAGCTTACAGGTGTAAATTTCTACATTAAATATTTATATGCTGTTGTACAATTCAATTTTTTTTAAGTATAAAATTACGCTATGAAAGTTT